ATGCATCCCAGAACTATGACAAGACGCTAAGCACTGTCTATAAAAGGCAGCCAGTATATACATGCATAGAAACAATGCATATCCGGTAGCGAAAGTTTCCCGTACAATTTGACTTTTATTTATAGTGTCAACGACTGTTCTGTCACGCCAAAGATCTCGCCTTCCTACGTATTCCATGGAAACTTCGCTGTTTGCCTCTGGTAGGACTATTGCGTTTATTGCTGTCTAACAGGCTCGAGTGGACTGCATAGGTATGTATACATAATGCGGAAGACTGCAAGAATCTTCTCAGAACGTCACCACTACGTTCGCCAGTGCATAACGGAACTTCGTGTTTCATCTGTCCGCTCGTTATCCATGACCTTGTCCTATTTTGCTGTTATTCTGTGAGGCAAATTGTGTGAACGGGACTGCCTACACGTCGTATATGTACGTGTGTGAGCTTATGCTTGTGGAGATATGTTCGTGAATAATATATTGCGCGTTCGACCCTTTTCCATCTGAGTGTCAAGTAATCCCTTCCTGTCCTCATCATCGTTCTGCTTTCCGCTCATTTGGAACGACTATAGTTCTGAGTAAAAACGTGCTAGACTCGAACCACGCATCTAGGTTAAAACATAGGCCCAGCCTTAACTGGCTGGAGCCCGCATTATCATTCGTTTAGGTAAGGCAGGGGCCAAAACAAACTAGCCGCCTAGATATTTTACCAATACGATTATGGTATTATTATTTTGCGTTGGTACCGGATAGCATGTATACGCGTAATGTTTGAAAACTGTAGTCGCTGTACCATTGCCCGTCTGTATTCTTTAAGGATAAAAACGCGAAATTCTTAATGTTAGCATAGACCTTTTTCCTGACTCCACTATATATAGTCTCGACTACAGCAAAGACATCACTATTATCCTTTCAGTCGCTCATTTCCCATTTACAGCCCTTTTATCCGCGAGTGAACTGTTTTTTTGTGAAGCCTACGTGCTTTCTTTATAGCCTCAGAACAACTACGTATGCATTCGCCAGCGCTCATATTCAGCCAAGGGCACTATCGGACACCGTCGACAATACAACTTGTCAATGTTGTTTGACATAACGGTTGCCATTGTTGCATGCAGATGCGTGACACGGTCGCCTATGCACGTCGAGAGGGGGCGGAGGGGTGTTAGATGAGGGCAACACCCCTATTGTTGGTCTGAGCAAAGGCTGACTCGGAGGCAAGCGATCAAGGTATGGCTACACACAATAAACTAGGAAACAATGAGATAACAACGGAATACAACAAAAGAGCCCTACGGAGGACGCACATTATGTGCTGGCTACACATGGCGGATGAAAGCGCGCGTCTAGACTGTAGCAACAGTAGCCGTTAATAACAGTAATAACGATCCCCTTGTAATTCTTTGTCACCATTACATTTGTATTTGAATCTACAGGCGCGTGTCTGCGTGAAGATAAGGTTAGTCTTCTTAAGACTCTGTCCTTCGATATCTGAATAAAGCTGAATAATCTGGATACTATAGACAATAATAATCACAACGACTGTAGGAACAATGCGCTAGACTAGATCTCAGATAAGATTTAGACAAGTTGGAAAAGATTGCTTGAAGTTATTCCAAATGTTTAAGTTGTTAAAGTCAGTTCATAGTGATCGACTGTCGAGCCGGAACGTATTCAAAATGATTCTCATCTCATTAAAAGTAATATATCTTCTATTTCAACAGATAATATAATATTGACGTCGATGTATTTGGTTACAGAGTTTGGTTAAACAATCGTAGGGAAATCATAGATTCGTGAATGAGTGTTTTTCAAAGGTGTTTTGGTCAATAATTATACAAGACGGATTTTTATTATAATGGTATTTGCAGCGTAAACATACTGAGCATAGCACCCCAATTCATAGCCTTCACTAGTGAAACTGCTCTCGAATCAATGAGGAATGTAATAGAAAAAGCTACATAATGTATTCTGTTTATTCAGTGGTACTTCAAAGTATTCAAAAAGATCCAGGTATCGAACGGGTATCGCAATTTGACTATGAAGATTATTAGGAAACATAAATGTTAATTTCGATAAGATCCGTAATCAATTTTTCTATTCTTAACGATCAGCAGTGAGTGAGTGAATGGATGATCAATAGAAAAGGTTGGCATCATATCCTTCGAGGATATTATTGTAAAGCCGATCTTTTTTATCCGACATCAACTCGTCCCTGGCCTGTTTCTCTCCTGAACAGGAGTACATCTCATCATGGGCCCACTAACTCTTGTGCCGTTACTGTCATTCCTCTTGCAGTACCGGCACAATATTGCCGCGTAGCAACGAAGGCACGCTTCATAACAGTAACGGCCCCTCCAGTTCTCGAACACTCTGGATGGATGGTAAAAACTTTGAGTCTCGGTTCAGCTCTCTCCTCAAAACAGTTTCGCAAAGTGTTCAAAGCTTAAGTTTTTGATGACCGAGTTTTCGTTCTTCCTTCCCGGGCAGCGCTCGCCATTCCGCACGCCACCCGTCCTCGTGCAGTTGGTTTTTCCCATCGTCTCGTTCGCTCACATGTAACAAGAACATCGAAAAGGGGAAATATGAATTAAGAAGCTATTTGCTATCGTCCGATTTTTCTTATCTTTTCAGTGATAGTTTATGTCGTGAGCTTTGTGGCTCGCCGATGTGCAACGGCGACGGCTCGCACCTCAATATTTAGTACGCACCTAGTCACGTACGGTCGCAACTAATTCTCTTGCCTCACTCATCCAGTAAAAAAAAAATGTACTGGGAAAGCCAGAGCCCTGTCTGGCCTCTAACTGTGCTTACTGGCTGTTATTTAATATAATAGCACTTACGTAAATCTTCACCGACCTTCTAAGCTGTAATAGTTTACCGAGGTCGTTGCACGCCGAGACGTCGGGGCGTAATTATATATGCGCAAAAAATGTATGAAAAAGAAGCATTCATTTTTTATTCTTATTGTATTCTTGTTGCACAAAGAGGCCCTTGCAAGCCTGTCCTAGTTCATCAGCATGTCTGTTTCATTGAAGTTACGTCCAACTAACATTTTAAGAGCCTCTCATCAGTACGCTCACTAAAAATGATTGTGATTCTAATGACGTACGGATATTCCCTGGGTCGGTCATTCCGTGTCAAAGATGTAAGTAATGTAGCAGAACACTTTTCCCTCGAGCTGTTATTCATAGAGCGCCACCTATGCCGAGTGCTCGTGTCGTAGCTGATGAGGCACTACAGTATAGAATTCACGCGAATATCCCGCACGGATTGTAGATCTAGGGAAGAGATTCATTTGAAAATGATTCTATGCGCGATCTTAATGACAATCTTCTATGTCGCTATGATATATATATGATCAAATATTTCTAGCTACGCTATTTATACTTACGTCGAATAATGTGTAAGGAGCGAACAGCTGGATGTAGGATTAGATCAAGACGGCATATAATAGCGAAGTTGGGTGCATAAGTAATGTTCTCGTATATATCATCGGGTAAAATGTTTATACCGACAAGGATTTGGTTTTTTAATAGTAGGGCTTCTGTCGCTTGACGCATTCAGGACCCTCGACTGTGCGTTATCTATTGGTATCTCTTAGACCAGACTCGATTGCTATATTTTTCGAGCGAGCTCTTGGCTGTCTCGATTTATTTGGGTATGAATCATCCCAATGGTTCGAACTATATATATCCCAGTGGAATGTTGGGCTCCTGTGATATCTGGATTTTATAAATACTGCTGCTCGGTCGCCGCAGGAATGACTGTGATTCGCTCTAACGAGACCGTAAGCGTTTTTGTAAGATAACTTAAAAATGCAACTTTGAATTAAGGCTGCAAAAGAACGAGTGCCGTTTAAGCTGTACGTTTTCCCGTCTCCACCTGTGTTTCGCTATCTAAAAGCCATTGCTGCTAACCAACGGTAGCAGCACTCGTGCCTAACCTTTATGGCCTCTCTTATTTGCTTTGAGGTTCAGTAGATCATAGTTAGCTGGTTTAATTGTTCTTATTTGATCCGATATATATATTTTACTGTTGGAATTACATATTCAGAAAAACTGAAGATGATTTCTTATCTTATCAAGGGTTGTAGAGGTTAAACTCCACACTTTTTTGTTTACTGGACAGATACTGCGTTGTTGGGCCCGACCGGGTATGAACAATATTACTCGAGGTTATCAAAAAAATCAACCAGCTCACTCTATATATTAATTAGTGCATGACACTGCCAGCCTTAATCTACTTCATAAACTCCTCACGTTGCGTTTGGATCGTAAAACATGCCACTGCTCACGGCTTATTTCGATGTACCGAATCTTGTAAAAGGCCAAGTATTTATCTTAAACCCTTTGCAAAGCTCACCATGACAAGCTCTTAGTTTGTCCGTTTGATCCAAAACAATTGGAAGTTTATCAGTTCGTTGAACGAATCGAAAACTCGTAGGTTTCGACGTTACACAGAACAAAGGATTGAGGTATAGGGGTCGATGGAATAAACCAGGCTGTTATTTAAACGTACTGTAACTTTCATCGCAGTTTAATAAATATTGCTTAGTTCACTGCTCTGGAAAACCAGCTAGCTAAAACAGTAATAGAAAAACGCCTGCCAGGATTCACGAATGTCCTAGAAATACTTCCCTAGTGAAAACAACATCAAAGGCGGCAAAAACACAGTGATACGTTAAGTTATAGGTCTAACGTACTTAACTATATATTCTCTGCCATATACAAATAAAGTTTTACTCAGCTCACTAACTAATGCTAATAAAGTAATTTGTGGCGCTTGAAGACTAAAAATTACTCATTAGAACGTACATCTATCTTATCACTCGTCAATCACAATATTGAAGAACGCAATAACAGAAAAAGTTGGGAGAATCAATAATGAAATAACCCCAATTTCCATAATACGACAACAATAAATAGCACCAATTACCCAATTTTTGCACAATATATAAAAATAACTTTGTCAATATGAAGGCCTATAGAAGATTTGAAACTTCTTGAGACAGTCGTGATCAACACAGCAACGGTAAATTTTGAGGGTTTTCTAGATTTTCTATACTGAACCAAACAAGCGATACATAATTTCAAAAAACCAAATAACAATTGTCAACTAAATAAATACTAAATTAGCTGGTGTTACAGAGTAGCCGCTCATATCGAAATCCTCCGCAGGCTGGAAAAAATTTTCGAACATTTGGTAATCAGTTTAGAGGGCAGTAAGTCGAAAACAACGATAAAAGCGCTTTTATGGCCCATACTGTTTAAAGTAAACCAGTTAATTGATGTATCGCTTATTCCAGTGGTTCTGGTACGAGCTCGTACAACTGGTCAGCATTTCCAACTGCATCTTACTCGGCTCAATACCATGGTCGATAGGTTTTCCTTTGCCGCAAATGCCGCATGACAGCAGAGTTTGTAATCTTCGTGCTTTTTATGCCTCAATATGTCGGTGAGTTTTGCTACACTTTAATAATTTCATCATGTTAAATGAATTAAAATTTATAGTTACACTCCTTTCTAAAGGGTCCAGAAAGATTTCTAATGGTAGTCATCTTCAAGCAATGTAGAACGCCTGGAAAGCAACATTCTCGGTGTTTACCACTGGCGTCTGCAGTACCATCCGTTTAAACTCAATAGCCCTGAAACCGGACATAGCTAATTAGTCACAGAACAGTCGCTCCGCCTCATGTGTTACCCCACGATTACGTTCACCGCCTCATATGTCACCCGAAATGATTATGTCCGGACTGCTACTAGCCATACGCATTTGCTCTCCTACTTTGACATGCTGACGGGGCCTTCAGCAACGATGCGTGCGTTTGGCAACAAGTTTCAGGATCCGCCGTTCTTTTGTAGTCACCTGCGAGAACAGAGGCAACCTCTTATAGCGGCACGACTTTTTCAAAGCTAAACACAAATGCAACTGCTGGGCTGATGTTGTATTTTCGGCGGTACGTACGAAACGATGATACTTTTCAAGTTTTTATTTTAAAGTTTATATTTTTAAAAGGAGCCACAGTGCACATCGGTTTTTCTTCGGTTCTTTCGGCAAACTCATCCAATGTAAGTAAACATACAGAAGACGACGTCCGAGTACCTTGTTTTACAAAAACGTTTAAGTAAAGAGGAAGGCGTGCACTGAAATGGTGAATGCGATAAGGAAAGTCAACATTAAATGTTCCGCAACGTACGCGCTAGGAAATCATTGTGCTGCTTAACGGAGTTCCTCTGGACGTTCTTCGCGGTAAAATCAACGTCCTTACTCTCATTTAGCTTGTAAGCTTTTTCTTCTCTGCGGCTTCTTTCCGATTAGAGTTTCTCAGCGTTCTTCACGGACGTCGAGCTCAAGGTTAGGACTTCACCCTTTAAAAAAGGATCAAGCTCTTAATTTCGATTCCTGTTTCGGGTCCTGTTAGAAATCTTCCGTTGTTAGGCACATTATGGTATTCCGTAAGGACTTGGTTGCGAGCTTGGGGCCTTTTGCCACCTTTCTCTCTAGAATCCAGTTAAAAGTTACAATCAAAAAGGGTCGATTTGATAATGAAGGAAACGTCTCGATATTTTTCTAAACTGCTAATGTGTGCGTGCTAGCGACAGAATATTCGTAGATTCACGTTGCTGTGTTTCAATTATCTCAAAATGAACAGGGCCAATATCGTTACTTTAGACCATAAATCAACACATATTCCTATAGCAACCAATGTAAATCATATGGCCGTTTAGTTGCTAAATTTTAATTAATAAATTGTTATAATAGAATCTTTGAACAGATAACATTTAAATCAATATACTTACTCGTTTACTCATTCGTATAATATGATAAATGTAAATTTGTCACTGTTTCGCCGGTGAGAAATTTATTCCCAATATAGATTACGTAATTGGAACAATCGAGCCAGCTTGAACCTAATGAAAAAAGATTAACAAAGTCTTACGATCTACAAAAACATACTACATACAGTTAGTTAGCATACAATTAAGTATCTAAAAATGAGATAAACTTTACACCTGCGTGTCTGCACCAAATTGCTAATACTGGATCATCGTTAGCGAATATTTGGTGCTCCAACTTCATAGGCACCGGAAATCGTTTGCAGGAAGTAGTTAACTGCCGTCTGCGTGCCCCAAAGACCTTGCTTCGACACCTTTTATTCCCTTACGAGCATTGCAAATAGGCAAGCTAAATACAAAAAAAGAAAATTGTATTTCATTGGATCTGTCTAGGAATAACGTATGTACTCAGCTGATTTGGGTAAGTTTTTTTCGTTAATAGATAAGTGCCTAAGCTTCTCTTCTCTCATGCCCTTTTCGGTTTCTGCGAATTACAGTCCATGTCGACTATTAGCTGCAAATCGTTCCGCGTTCTTTTTACATACACTTCCTGCGCCACAATTCCTAGAGAGGTTCTGTGCGTGTGAAGATCTATGTACGCACGTCTATGAAGACTACACGCGAGAGCTAGCGCAGAAAAAAGCCCAAAGCGAGAGAAATAGAGGAAGGTGATCGATCAAAAGTTTGCTCGCCTCCAGCAATTCAATGACGAGGTGTTCCTTGAGAATTCAACAGGTCACCACATTTTGTATGAACCATTCCCCCCTCGCTTGAACGGACCTTGTTTACGATACTGTCGACATTCAACCGTCACCTAATATACACGAACGAACCGACCATCCGTCGGTTACTTCTTTGTTGGTCACGCTCACCACCCAACATATCTGAAGCGTGTTTCGCTAGTCTGATGATGTAAACCGGATTCTGGCTTGGACCTATGAGTATACAGCCCATTCACTGTCGTTGACAACGCTGCTAACTCATATGTGCTGGTGGGAAGCTTAACGACGCCGATATCACCCGGTATGGAGATCTAGATGTAATAGTGTCGTTGTCAAAGTTGAGTGCAGCAAACGTTGCACGACGCGTAGTCAGGAAAACTAGAAAGATTCCACGGTTCACCACGATTCTTATATGACGACAGCAAGAGCGAGGGTTTATTTTAGTTTCCCTTTGCGTATAATCTTATATTTACAATTTTCTATAATTATCAGTGTGTCTTTTGAAAGTTGAAAAATTCGGCAAAGCACTTGAAGTGTAAGTGCTTTGCCGAACGAAGTTCTATTGACCAAGGTAATATGGTTCGTCGTCATTAACTCGCACATTCTGAAGATTCTCCCGTCATCTATTTAAAATGTTTTGATTAGTTTTATGGTTAGAAACTTCTGAGCTTGTGTTTCTAAGCTGTGTAAATATACGAAGACGCATGCTCGAGAAAAGTAATGTTGAAGCAGTAACGTAAAAACAGTCTTTGCCGGAGATCTCAACCGTATTAATAACATTCACACCGCATATATGTTCGCTGCCGAAGTCCTTTGCCCATATTGCTGTTGTTAGCCCTCCAATGACGGTAGGTTTAGCCCAATGAGATCGAAAGTATCTAGGAGCTGACTCGTGACAACCGTGTTGATCGTGTTAATTATCTATGAAATAGTTAACAGCTCTGTAGCATGTACAAGTAATGTAGCGTGTAGGTAATGAGCTTAGATCCGTTAAACATTTCCGCGCGTCTGTTCTTCATATCTATCTTCATAGGGTCTTAGCATTGCTATAGTCATGCGTGGACGTCGACGTTTTTAACGCCTCAATGACAATGGGAGGCAACTCTGACAGCGAACATCAATCGTTCTCTAAAAGGTTCCTCGTTGCTTACGAACGTTCTATGAATCATCTGTTCTCTGTGCGTCATGGTTAGTTTTCGTTGCCATGTAATCTCTGGCGATTTCAAAAAATTACCATATTGTTTCTTAATTGGTTTACGCTGTACGTGATAGAGACACCAATTCTTACTGCCTTCCAAAATCGACCGGTGGAAGCTGCTTTTGCTATGAGACATTATCTCCACTGACTCGACCCGGACACTCGAGGCTTTTTTGATCTTACGGATCAATGCACACATATAAAGTCGGTTGCAAAACTTTGCATTGCAGCCTATCTGCGTTTTTCAGTATTACAGCATGTTTGGCTAAGAAGATTCGATAGAATCGGACTCTCACAACAGCACGAGAACGGATGCATCAAATATATATTATATATGTAAAATGTTTGGCGAGTAGATGAAACCGGATTGAAAAAAGGGTTCTCAATTGGAAGTTTGATATTTGTAAGTAGCGAAGTAACCGAGGTCACGTACTTGCTTTTGTCGTTCTTCCGATCATTCGGATTATTTGTAGTTGATGATAAAAGGCAGTGATTTTTAACTGAATCGGGTACTTTTGCCGAAGTGCATTCAGCCATAGGAAAGATATAGCAATCGCAAATGTTAAAAAAGTACCTTTTTTCTTGAACAAGATATGGACTTGAGCTAATATCCAACAGTTCCCGTTTTGTAACCTTCAGAGCAGAGCTACGATTGTTTTCTAGGGTGGATCCTCGTGTGGAGCTAACAAATGCCCGGATGTGATTCTACCAACGAGAAGTAAATTGTCCTATGAGCCACAGTTCACGTTGCCATTCATAACAAAGAAAGATCGCGCGACTATTGTATGTTTATGAAATGTTTATGAAATTTTAAGTTATCCCATATCTTAGGTACCCACATATACGTATGCCTGTCGAACTAGGCATGGGCACTGTGTATGGGTGTAGCTTATAGTGTACACCCGGATCAAGGTGGATAAAAGAACATTTTCTGCTTTTAAAGGACAACGTAGAAAAGCAAAGCATTTGTTTAGCTAGCTTTATACCGTTTCAGTCAAGAGTATTAACCAGATAGTAAAAAAACAAAGTATTTCGCGGCACCGCGTCAGGTGGTAACTTCAGTCAGTTAATCAAATGAAAATAGCAGACTTATATTCCGGGCCTTGATTCCTTTGTGTAAATTAATCGGTCACAATTAACTTTAACACAGTTCAGTCAATTTTCGGCGTTTCGGTAGAATAACTAATCAGATTCGCGGTTGCATCGTTAACATACTAAATTATTGCCTTCTTTTTATTCCGATTCTATTTTTCTGATTGAATGATTTTTATGAATTTATTTATTGATTGATTAAAAATAAAAGAGAAATCAATCAAGAATATTTCATATCTATACGTTGGCTTGAGAAATTAATATTTACGACAAGTTTACGACCTTAGTCTGAAGAATATCTTAGGGTATCTCGCTTTGCATCTTATCTGAACCAGAGACTTTTCGACTGCGAAATATTTGCTAACTTGGATGCCACTTTTATAACTACTACAAATACCTGTATACAATGTCAAAAATACGGTAGCCGCTAAGATGCGATACTAAATCCGTCATTCAATCATACGGCATAATAAAAAAAAAATTTAATCGTATAGACTAAGCATGTATTATTGGATAATATCGATAAAACTTGCATAGTGTGGCAAAACTTAGACGCTTCATAGAAGTGGAACTAGTCCAAGCTATCTAGAATCTAATTAAATAAGCGAAACCTGCTGGGCAACAGGCATATACCTCTTTTAGCACCAGGGCTGAAGCTTAAGAGGTGCAAATAGATTTCCCTTATAGCGTAAATATATAAGTAAATGTAAAAGTAAAGTAAATAAGTGCATTGTGTAATATTTACCTAGTGACACATAGACTCTAACAATTTAACTTTTTCTTTGATTAATTAATCTGTCTCAGTATATCACAATCTCTATGCTCAATTATTCAGTGCCACTGGCGCTAGAGACTGGCCTCCGACCTCTCAAACAGACGGCAGTCAGCACTTTCCAAGTAAGCCAACAAATACAATGTACTAGCAAAGTCTATACACTGTATCATTTCAAAGTATACTAGATCCCAAACGGGTACCGCTGGGTATCTCCGCTGAACGATTATTAATACGCTGCGAGTAATCTCTATATATGAGTGTGGATAATTAGCCCTCGCAGGTTTTCTGACTTGCAAAGTTCACTCATTATCCGGCTGACCTCTAACGAATATGATCACTTCATTCACTCCAATGTCTCGCATCGAATGCTGATGAGACGTTCATATATAGCATACGCTCGCCGTCAGCGGCGTTGATAGGTCCACACCCTACTGTCGGCCTGGATTTTTACGTGTCATAAGTACTATTGCTGTTGTCGTTAGCAGCACTAGTAGTACGTATTATAATAAGTAATAAGAAATAAATTATTATTTATTGCTACAGATTGAGTATGTATGAATGATGCAACAAAGCATAGCAGCAAAGACGATTGACACAAATGTGTCTACTTGCATGTACGTTCATTAAAAACATAAGTACTTTTACACGAGAGACCACCTCATTCCGGCCACGGACATATCAAGCCAGATCTGCCTAACTGAGGCAGATAAAGATGAGGTAAAAAGAAAATACCTATCAATCTATAAGCATGTTTTTCTAAGCTGATGATTTGGGAAATGGAGCACGACTGCAAACATAGATTACAAAGGAAAAAACTGCAAATTAATTACTTAATAAGAAAATCGTAAGCAGAACAGAGCTTCATTTATCCTGTTTTATAAACTGAACAAACACGTACAAATTACACACAGGCGGAACCTATATACAAAAAAAAACTGCACGCTCGTTTGATGCGGTTTTTTTTTCAATGGACTATACGTGAATTGCACCGATGACGCATAACATCATGCTCTAGTAAGGATAAAAATGATTGCCGACCACTAAATAATCCTTGTACTGCATATTACATCTGTGATCTATCGGAAATAGGACAGCAATCAAATTCGATTGATCTTTGATCAGTTATTCACGTGATCGTATACAATTCATAACATTTCAAAATTAACGCGCCAGTATCGCAAACATGGCGGTCACCTAGCCTCACAATGGTGCTACCAATTTTGCGAGTCACCAATATGTTCTTATTATACCTACAATAATAATAATTATACTACTTATTTATGACTACATGTGTCACATGACACGTGGAAACTTTCGGTTCGTCAAAGCATATGATGAAAATCGTCTGCTAGATAAGTTACAATCAAATGTTTACTTTTCTTTATATTCTACTCTAAACTTGTTATTGTACTTGCCAGGCAAAAATCAAAATCCATACCTGTTATTTTTCCTTCGTCCGCTTTAATACATTTGTCAGATTCGGGAAGTTCAGGTTGTCTCTCAACATGTTCGGTAAAGAAGAAAGCATCGGTCAGTGTTCCACAACACCAGGTGGCTGTATGCGAAGAGATGTAATTAAAGTATTCTTACCTTCAAGAAGCCAGATTGCATTCAATCTAGTCTGCCAGATCTCCGATTTAGAAGTACTAGGTTTAATTGATACGAACGAAATGTTATAGGTCGCAGCTGGTGCTACTTTTATGTTAGATAACTCAATGATTGAGTATCTGTTGGTTATTGAATGTTACCACTAGTGTTTTCGATACGTGTACTTTGACTGACGGAGCTAGGGTAATGTGGAGATAAGTTTTGTCACGTAGCAGTTATCTGTATCGTACTTATTTTTCATTATCACAAGTTCCATTTTTAGACGACGCATGGGTCATTAACAATGTTTGTTCATGTAACACTCGTTAGTTGCCTTCGCTGTCATTGACAGGCCTTCACATAAGGGCAATTATTTTCAATTTCGTCTGTCAACAGAGTCTAAGTGACGATTTACAGGCATGAACCTCACTTATTTTTGTAAAGAATTTAATAATATCTCTCCCGCTCATTGTCACTACCTGTTCTCTTATACAGAGACTTGGAAAAGAAGCCTAGCAGCCAAGCAAAAACAGGCTAGAGGGGAGAATTTTGCCGGGCTCAGAGGCCCTGAGACAGCTTCAGTTCGCAGAGATACCCTTACGGAGGCCTCGCGGAGACGACAGTTTCGCTGAGCTTTCTCCAGCTGTGCAGGTGTGCCCGTCGTTGTCTGATGTTGGCACGAAAAGCGGTGAAGCACTAGAGTATTGAGAATACTACCGCTAGCTAGCACGCGTTAAAGGGTCCCAAAGCGCGGGATGAATTCTAGGACGAAGGTACAGGGGATCGACAAGTTACAATGATATCAACCGGATCCAGGCAGACAAGAGGTAGATAGGCCGGCTGTTTGAATTAGACGTTTTGCGGGGAGGGGATGCATCAAGGGACAGAGAGGAGGACTCATTCGTTGAAGTTTAGGGGTAACAGGCCAT